CATTCTAAAATCAAAAAAGGAAAGAAAAAAAAAAATTCAGTAAAGTTGTCATTCTACAATTATTTAGTTTAGGACAGGAAAGGAAAAACAGTTAGCAAACATATAATTATCGAAAAATATCATCGATTAATTTGAAAAAATTTTTTCATTTTTTTTAAAAAAATTCCAATAAAAAAAAAGAAAAAGATAAAATTTGTTGGATAATTAAAATTAATGGAAGCAATATTTGCATATTGAAAAAGGATAAATTTAATTGATAAATTAGTTAATTGGGAAGAAAAAAAAAAAAAAGAGAGAGAACGTGAATTATAAAATGTGATTGCGCACCATTTATTGATTAAGAATTTAAGCAATAAAATATTTGTAGATGTAAAAGATTTATGTATTTTTAATATTTCAATTATGCTAATTTGGACTTGAATGAATTTGAGAAAAAAAAAAGAGAAAACACTGCTAATTTGCAGAAAATTGAATTTTACTCTTTTGAAACGGACTTTTTTACCATTGAAACTTTAATTTACAATTTAAAATTGCAATATTATGTTGGTCTATTGGAATTTGAACGAATAAAGGAGAAAAGGACCTTCAATGATTAAATTAATGAACGAACATTTTAGCTTCGTAAACTAACTTTTGATCTTCGTAATAAGTTTCCAAACTTTTTTTTTTCTTTTCAAAAACTCAAAAACTTTGAAAAGTAAATTTTTACAGTAATTTCTAGTTTATCAAATTATTCATTTACATAATTATTTAAATATTTCAAGCAAAAATAAGCTTAATTATTTTGGTATTTGAATGATTCAGAAAGAAATGCATTTTTGGGTTATTTTTTTTTTCTCTCTCTTTAAAAATCATCCCATTGACAAATTAATTAAATTAGTGAAGGAGTGGTTAAAATGAGTTGTAACAATTTTTTATTATTTTTTAGTTGGAGATTGGGAAGAAGAACCAGTTCCTCTGTTATTTTATATTTTACAAGTTTACGTTATTTGCGTGTACCTTTATATTTTCAATTTATTTATTACTCAAGCATTTGAAAAAATTTTGAAGTGGAAATATCCTTAAACAACAAACTACCGTAGGAAAGGAGAGAGAGGAAACAAGAGATAGAGAGAGAGAGAGAGAGAGAAAGAAGGAGAAAAGGAAAAAAAAGTCAAAAATAAATTAACTTGAATGTTGAATTTTTGTGCAATTTCAGTCGAAAAAGTTACATAAGTGGCATTATTCCGTATTCCGGATCTTGTACTACGACCATTCCGGACAAACTTATTTTATCTACGATATTAATTACATTTAACTAACCTGCTAACTTCACCAACTTCTTTCGCTTTCAATATATTTCGTAAAATTATCCATATTTTATCATTCTAACGCAAAAAAAGTCATTACGTGAAAATTACACGAAACTACGTGAGGAAGTGAAAATCCATGATTGCTATTGGATTGTTTGTTTTGTTTTTGATGCCAAATTTAAAAATATAATAAATTATACAAAAAGTATACATTATCTTTTTAAGTGGATTAATTAAAATGTATGATATTAAAATTGTTTTGAAAAACTAAAATTAAAATAAAAATTAAATGTCAAATGAAAAATTATAAAGCAAATAAAATAAAAATATTAAATATTAAAATAAAAATAAAATATTAAAATCAAAATACAATATTAAAATTAAAATAATTGAAACTAAAATATTATTTTTGCAACTAAAATATGAAAAATAGTTTTATACGTGTTAATCACGTTGCATAAGACGTGAACAAAATGAAATACAACATTACACATATTAATCAAATTGAATAAGGAATAGATATGCACGTGATAATCACGTAGAATAAGACGTAATTGCTATAATTTATTCATTTGTTAACTGAGTGAACATTTCATTCTTAAAAATGGCAATAATTGAAAGGTAAAATAAAAACAAAAAAAAAAAAACAAAATTCTTTTAAACTACCAATTTTGTCGTTTAAAAGATTTAAAATTAAGAAATTAATGAAGAAAATTTTTGTAAAAATTAACTAAAATGAAAACAAAAAGATGAAATAATTGTTGAGAAATTAGGAAAAATATGATTTGTAGAGTTTCGTTAAAGTTGATTGGTTTCATATGTCAAGAAGCGAAAAAAAAAAAAGGAGAAAGGGAGAGAGAGAGAGGAGGGAGGGAGGGGAGGGAGAGAGAGAGAGAGAAGAAAGA